ATTTAGTTGAGTGTGTTGCATGTGCTCAGAGCCATGTATCAGGAATCATCGACAGGGAGGTCTCAGGGTGAGCCCTAGCTGACCTTCACCACCAGTGGAGTGTCAACCAAGGAATGATGCCAGTTTCTGTCCCATTGCTGGAGCTCACCTTCATGGCTGTGTAGCCTGTCTTCTGCCAAAGCTGGCTTGGCATGTGGTCATGTCCCATAGATTCTATCTGGCCTAAAATATCCTGTGATTCTGTCCATTTGAGATACAACTTCATGTAAGACTTTCTCTCTCCGTTGTCAGGTTGTAGTTAGCTTAATTACAGCCCTATACATTTTTGATACTTTTTTAAGCCAATATTTTCATTTGGATGCCATATGATTATTTTTCAGATTAATTTGAGATACTTTGAGAGTACAGTTTCGAGGTCCTTAATGTGGCAATTTTATCTTTATTTATATACTTGGTCAGTCCTATTGCAGTACTTGAGTTCTTGAGATGTCTCGTAAGTTTTTTCAAGCACTTAGATCTGTTCAAATAGTATTTCATAAACATTTTGCCCCATACAGAAGTTCACTTTAAAACAGCAGATTAATTTTATATGGAATGGCAGAATGGTGTTATTATAAGTCAAATGTGTGGAAAAGCATTTGTACTAGATCTTGACTGCTTTTGAAATTACCACTAGTTTTGAGACACCTTACCCTGGGAAATTTCAGGCATTCTGGTAAGAAAGACTCAGCAGCTTCAGGATAGAGTGTAGTCTTTGAAATTAAAGTCAGAAAACTAGAATTTCTCAAGGTGTCTTTTAAAAATATTGATATAATTTTCACCTTAAGCCCTCCTACTATGATACCTCTTATTTCAGGTAAAGCTGGGGTTGTGAATAAGTTGGGCCTTATCTCACTGATGCATGGCTTGAGTAGTTTGGACTATCCTAAATTCATTCTGCCTGCCAGTCAGATACTCTTGATGTAAAAAACCTGAGTTTACCTTATAAAACTGTAATTGTCTCATGCACACTTCCTTTTTACTTTGCAGTCAATATAAGGTTAATAATCTCTGATTCAGAGCTGCAGATGATGAATGAATGTATAAAGCAGAGGTGTCTTGTTCCCTTACACACTCATCGAAGTGTGAAACATGAAAGGGAGTGTGGAAGACAAGTTTGTTCTGCTCTGTAGGTTCCAAACACTTTCCATTTTATGTCTGCTGTGTTATTACATTTGGAAATGTGCAGTAAATTCTGGGTTTTTTTTCGATTTTTGATCTATTCTGGTTTTGTGCAGGCCTTGGAGAGAGGGCTTTATCTGGGGTTTTCTTTCTTTGTGATTTGTGGGTTTTTTGGTAAACATAGTTGGGAAGATCTTTTAGTCTTTTATTTTTTTGGTACTGTTTGCATAGATTAGAAAGGGAATTGCAGAAAAGGTTCTGCTCTTGTACTTTGGGAATGATGGTCTTGCCAAAGTCATTAAGCTGGGTTAGGTTGTTGTGCTATGTCCTCCAGAAGACCAACCCTTGAAACCTAACTGAAAACTGGATGAAGAGCGTACTGTTATGTTTTGTCAGGACACAGCATCAGTGGTCTGTGATGTACACTAACTAGCAGCTGGTTTCTGGATGAAATCTGATACGTTATTTTGATTTAGCAATCTCTATTATTGGGATCCTCGTTTCACAAAAAGTTTTTCTCCTCACCTCCTCTAATAATTACTTGACTTAATTTATTACCAGCTTTTATTTCCACTGTATAAATGGAAAGAATGTAATTTTTGGGAAATATGGGGCTAAGGGTATTTTAGTGTGCTTCCCACTGTGGTTCACCAAAGCCTGAATGTGATGACTCTGCAGGGCCAGTTTGCAAAACCTCTCTCAAGTGCTGCTGGAGTGGAACTGATTCTGAGGGCGGGAAGCAGCAAGGTCATCTTTAGATTCCTTTTGCTTTGTTAAGCCTGTGTTAACAGATTTATAGTGCTCTTTCCGTGCTGCCAGTTTGTGTGCAGGGAGGCGAGGGAGGCCCAAGTCAGGTTTGTCATGTGTGGGCATTGCGAGCAGCAGGTGTGAGCAGCAGCAGCGCTTCCCTGGGATCCCTGGGACCACGGACACTGGGAATCCTGCAGGGAACAAGCTCTCCTATTGCTTCTGCCTCCAGCCTCCCTGTGGAAAAGGAGCCTCCTGTGACTGAGGATGGACAGGACCTGTGGGACAGACTCCATACAAGCATGGAAAGATACCTGTTTTTACTGCATCTTCCTTCTTAGGAAGGAATGTTCTTTATGCAGCTTATTTTCTTTGGAGTGCACATATTTAATGAATTTATTTATTTTCTCTACATTAGAAAAACCTTTTTTCTTTTAAGATAATTTTTGAGTAATTTTTGAGCTTTCCTAAGTATAACTTCAATAAAAAATGTGTTTGTGAACCTAGGCTAGATCTGAAAAAGTATGAAAATTTAATTCATCTGGACTGATAGTGATGACTGATACTTTCTGGTATTTCTTAATTTTAGTTTTATCTATGAAAGGGTTTCCTTTTGTATTCAACTGGGAAACTAGGATTGCTTTAGTAAGCATATAATGTTGGAAAACTGCTACACACCTGCAAAAATATATAATTGTTTTGAAACTTTAATTTTTTTCCGTACTGTTTTTTAAAGTGCAAAGTTTTAGTTTCTTTGTGCTTTTTATGGATATGAAAATAATTCTGGGAACCTTATCTTGTATAACATGCATAGTTGTATTAGTTTTAAAAGAAAAATTCAAAAATTATGAGTATCTATCAAGTCACCATGTATACCTAATGGATTAGTCTATTGCTGTTAAAATTATATTGACACTTATTAGATTGCTTTCTGGATTGCTTCAAATATTTAAAACATTCTTCCGGTTATGTGCACCTGTGAGTATGTATTTTAAAGAAGTCTCAACATGGTTTATTTAAACTTACACTGACAGAGGTGATAAAGCTGCAGACACATGAGAATGGGGTGGAAAAGATAAGAAACAACAGCTTTGATCAGTCAGTGCTCAGTAAAGAAAAAAAATAAGTCAATTAACTGAGGCACTGGGATAAAGCATATTCAAAGGAAGGGTCAGGACCTCGAGAAGAATGAAAAATACTAGCTGAGTTTGTTGGGCTGGAAAAGGTAAAAGGTAGTTATATGTATAATGTATGTGTTGTATCCATAGTAATTGATTAATGAACCTGTATTAGTTTTGGTGCATTTGAAATTTTTAATTTTTTACATGCTGACATCTAAAATATTTAAGGATTTTTTTTTCCCTGCCTAGTTTAATAGAATCACATTGTCAGTTGTGACATTCTCCACTTTCCCTGTCTCACTAAAAAACAAGAGATGTGTCATGTCAGCATTTAACCCTTTACAATTCTTCACTTCTGTGCAAGTTACAAGTAAAGTAAAAAGGTTATTTAAGTAAGTGTTCAAAATTAGCTGATATATAAGTCTTGGCATTTAAACATTGGGTTTAAAAAATGAAGTTTTCCTGAATGATGCCACTAGCAGTTTCTGCTAACTTGGGAAAGCCTCATGTTCCTCTAATAACTGGTATATTTTCATTGAAAAGCTTTAAATTAATATCATATTTGGGGGCAGAAATTATATATATATAAAGTCTTAAGGAGATGGCAGAGAGGAAATGTGATTGTGTCCAGGTACCTTTGGCTGGTAGAAAGCAGTTGAGAGGTACTGCAGCAGGAGATGTTAGGGAACTTAGATGAGATGTTAGAGAATGCCTAAAGAAATCAGAAAGCTTCTGTGGAGTACAGGTTTGGAGCAGGAAGGTGTGGTTGGTGCCAGATGTCTTGGTTCATCAAAGCAAAGCAAGTTTTGCTGTGCTTAAGAAGGGTATATGGCAAAATTAGGTATGTAGGAAGAAATCTGAAAGAGTCTTCTAGGTTCAAAACCAGGATATGTTTATTTGAGAAAATATTGAGACTCTGGGGAGATAAAAGCCACCTGTTTACTAATCAGCAATTAAAGCATGCATGTACGTGGATAATTACTATTAAGAGTAGGATTCTTCATGCTTTAGCTTGTCTGGTGGTGTCACACCCCATGGTATTTGTCTCCTGGACAATTTTTAGCACAGACTCTTACTGGAAAGCATGTTTTGCAAGAACTGTTTGCCTTCCAGGGGCAATCCCAGAGTTCACTGGTGATTCCCTAGGCAATTTCACATCCTCTCAGCTTTGTGTAGCTCACCTGCAGCAGCTGCCCATAATAACCTCTTACGAGGTTCAGTGCATGTGAATTCATTGTTATTTACAGATAGATCTGTTTGGTTTTCACCTGCACATCCTCCTGCACATGCTGGTCATGTGCATGCCTAGTACACATGTGGTAACATCTGTGTCACTGGAACAAAAATTTTTAGGGAACAATTTTCAATACGCTTTTTTTTTTGTTGTGCTAAAACAGCTTCAGTAATGAGAAAAGGCACATTTTTGTGCAGTATTAGATCTTGACAAGTGAAGGGAAGCTTTCATCTCTGATTGGACAGTAACACTTGAAAACAGCTTGGTTAATAATTTAGGTGTATATAATATAATAATTTAAGTTAATAATTAAACTAATTCAGGTGCAATCATAAGTGATTTTTGACTCAGATTCTCAGCCTAGCTGCTGATATCTCAGTTATACTGAAACCTTTGGATGGGAGCAGGTACACAAAATAGTGCGGGTTTCTTTTTGGTATTTCTTTTTATTGTTAAAAATTTGGTTAATTTATCAAATAGCTTTTTTATTTTTCAAGGTACAATGCCCAATAACTTCAGGCTGATTTATGAGAAATTGCCCTGTATCTTACTAATTCTGCAACTTTCCAACTAAGAGAGAGGGCAGTAGATAATTTTTTTTTGCCTATCGGTTGTTTTCAAACAAACTTCTTTCTTACAACCTGAAGCAGTGGATGAAGCTTGACTTCCCTGAAAGAACTATGCTTGTTTTTTTTTTTTTGTTTTGTTTTTTTGTTTGTTTTTTTTGCTATCAACAGGCCGAGCTCTGATAACAGGCGCCACGGCATCCGGGAGAGGATGTCCAGTACCACGGAGAAGGGGAGCCTGTCCATGGAGTCCACCAAGGAAACCCGGTACTGCGCCGTCTGCAACGACTACGCCTCAGGCTACCACTACGGGGTCTGGTCCTGCGAGGGCTGCAAAGCCTTCTTCAAAAGGAGTATTCAAGGTAATGAGCTGTTCAAGTCACCTTTACCCTTTTAGACCTTTTAGTCTCGAGGAAACTGAAGACACTTGTGATTCCAGCCTGACCCCGGGACAATGACATTTACTGGGTTTTCATTAGCAGTTGTTGCGCTCTCCAACACAGTTTTAGCTCTGTACTGGATGAATGCTTTTAGCAGGTATAAAATATGTTATTATTAATCCAACATTAATGGGGAAAAGCAAAGCTTTTCTGTATCATCTTTAGTATATCTGACCCTGGTGGTAGTGAGAAATTTGATTTAAAAATCCATGTTGGATCAAGATGATCACACTTTCAGGCTGAGCATCTCTCTCCTCTTATCCAAGGCATTTTTTTGAGAATTCCCTGTCAGATGATTAATTCATGCTGATTGATTTATTAATCTTAATTTAGTGCTCCATTAGCCAGATGGTTCAGTCCAAATCTTAATTCCTTAAAGATGCTAGATGTCTTTTGAGAGCCAGTATTGAAAAAGAATGTTTCCTTGATGAAATATTATTTGTGTCTGTCAACAAAGCAGGGTTTTCAACTGTACACAGAATGGTTTAGTTCACAGTCTTGTTGTGGTTAAAAAGGCTAGTGGAGTAAAGGGCATCTAATAAAAACACTGTTAATTACTGTGACAGAGATAATTCTTCATTTAACTGCCTGTTACTTTGTGGAACGGATACTGCTTTTTAAAATCTGTTTTTATTTTTTTTTCTTTGTTCAATATCTCTTAAAATTACTAAGAAGTAATTATAATTCTACTGAAAATACAGGTACTGTTCAGTATCTAAGTTTTTAGAGAAGAAAATAAAATAGATTTCTTCCATTTAAACAGAAAAAAGGTAAAGTGCTGTGCATTATTTAGTTTACTATAGGTTTTTAAATCCCCAGTTGATACATAGGGACAAAAATTTCTGTGGCCTCTTTTACTGAAGTAAACATAGTGTGGAACAATTTTGCATCACATCACAAGGTGTGATTATTGCCTGCTTTATTGTATGACTAGCACAGAGGTGAGTTAAATAGGACTTCCAGCATTCAGATCAGAAATTTTTCCCCCCCTGAAGAATGAATGACTGAGGGGTAGACATTGATGGAATTATTTGAATGACAATGATTAGTTAATAGTTGCTCATATTTTTGTTTGTCCAGACACACTGAAATGATTTTTAAAAGAGTGAGTGGTTAGAGCCCAGAGGTCAGTAATAAACAACACTGAAGGGAGAAAGGGTGAAATGCCTTTTTTCTTCACATCAGAGTAATTTACTTTAACTTGCGATGTCAGGAGAACAGCTCCCTTATTGTGTATTTGTTATTTTTCCTTTTCAGTTCCTCTGACCAAATCAGAATTATTTTTAGGCTTTTGAAATTATGTCCTTGTGCTTGAACTGAACTAAGTCACAACAAAGTGGAAATTGAAATAGCCTAAAGCAAAAGTGAGAGTTATCAAGTAACTGTCAAGCAAAGGTCTTCAGCATTTGGCCGTTGTGGAAGAAAAAATGAATCAGTTTCATTGAACTTCTGCTGTCAGCACTTGGTGGTTTTACCCTGGTCTCCACATAGACAAATGGTGTGGTCCACCACACTGGATCTGTTTTCTATTTGTGCTACACTAAAGACTAGTTTGTAAATTTGTTTCTTTCTATGTATATATATTTAAGGTAATTTTTAAGTAGATAAGCTTTTAAATCTTAAGTTTCCAGGATCCCATAAAATAACTTTCGTGATCTATAAGTCATGTTTGCTCTAATTTAAGCTCCTTGCTTCTTGCCCTATGCCCTGTGGGCATGAAGATCGCTTGTTACAACAACCTTTTACATAGTTGAAGACTGCTATCATATCTTTTCTCAGTCTTCTCTTTTTTAGACTAAACAAACCAAGTTCTTTCAGTGGAACATGCTTCCTAGACTTCTGATCCCATTTTTTAAGCTCCTCTGTACTTTCTCCAGTTGATCCATCTGTTTTGTGATAAAGTTATTGTAGAAAATGACATGCACAAGTATAAAGAAAATAATTCAAGAATATGAGTACTTATGAGAGAATTCTGATAATTTGATCATAGAGGGTAAGAAAAGTCTTCTGAACTTATAAATTCATAGCTACCCAGTCTTGATGAACTAAGGTAATTTTTGAATTTTCTAGTGGATTTGGAAGAGATCTCTATTTCAGAAATTACATGTTCTCATTGAACATGTGTCCAATTTATGAAAATGAAAGTAATTTTTAGATTAATAATAGATGTAAAAAACATGCATTTACCTTGCAGATGCTAATAATTTTAAATATGTTGTGATCAGATAGCTAGGAATGAATGCTACTTACATGCAGGTATATTTATAGAAAGATTTGTGGACTAAATATTATTGTATATATTTTTGAGTTATTATATATACTGCATCATATATATGCTCTGCATTCCTAAAATAAAAGGGAAAAAATTCCTGTGCATCATATGATCAAACACTGTTGAGGTTCACATGAAGAAAAATAAACCAAAATGCTTTAAGCAAAGATTTTTGTTGTTTCAGCAAAGATAACTGTGCTACTTTGTTCTTTGCTAACCTGTATTTCTCAATACATTCGTAGATGCAGAGATGATAATTTCTGTATTTCTCATCAGAGATTTCATAGGAGAATTGCTGTAATGAACCTTGATGTTCCTGTCAGACTGCATACAAACTTCCTACATTGTTCTTAATAGAACCACAGGAAAAAGTAAGGACAGACATGAAGAGGCTGTATGTGGTAATGAATTACCTCTGTTATCTTCAGTGATATCGGAGGTATCTATATTTACCTGCTTTAGTATATACTGAAATTTTATGAAAACTCATATTTGCATTGGAGCTTACCTGAGGTGAAAATAGATAGCTTCACTTTTATCCAGGCTATTTTGAATGTTCCTGGTTTTGTGAGTTTTAAATGCTAAGGTGTTTTTCATTGTTGTCAAGTAGTTAAAGCTTAAAGAGGTAACCTGAATTAGAAACTGTGTGTGCAAGTTTTCAATTTTGTTTAAACAACAGATGGTTTGTGGAAAACCTGAACTGCCTCCTGAAATGGCCTGTGTCTGTCTACTTTGATGGTTTATGTCCCGAAAGTGATTTGGGACCTTGTTTTGAGAAACCTCAGTGCAAAGTGATATTAATGTACAATCTTTCATGGGAGAGAAAAGTCACAGGACACCAAGGAGACCACGTTGCTTGGTGATAGAAGAGTGTTTTACTCTTCACCTAGCATATGTAGCCTTCAGAAGTGTACTTGGTTGAGGGACTTGATTTCAGAAGCATACAAGGAGCCACACCACAGCCCTTCTCTCCTAAAATATTTTTGAATTTTAAGACCAAGAAGGCTCATTAGATCAATAATTCTGTTCTTCTCTCAATATAAACTTTATATGCTGTCCATCTACAATGTCCAGTAACTTGATGGAGTTAAATATTTTAGATGCCCAGACTCAAGATGCCCATAGGCTCAAGTGTTTTCTTACAATGATGGCTTATTCTAAAGATTTGTCCTCCCATATGCTAAAAATTTACCAAATTAATGTGTTCTACTCAAAGTTACGTGTCTTACTTCGGCTTTTACATCACTTTCACGAACCAGTCTTAGTAACTACTTTCTCCTGTGGAAAGTTCTTAAAAATTACATCATCAAGTCATCAAGTCACCTTGATATCTTAAGTGAACTAAAATGTTTCAGTCGCCTGCTGTATATCTTTCTGTCTTCTGAGTCCATTATTTTTTCACCTCTAGTCATTCCCCCACACCCACAACAGCCTCTCTAAAATTTGGATGTCAGAATTGGAAGATGTATTTCAACATGAGCCTTACAAATGCCATTTACAAATTAAAAATCCCCCAGTGACTCACACATTCTTTCCCCCTTCTAATTCCCTTCGTTTTTGGATAGCCACCAAGCCCTGTGAGACAGGAAGGAATTACTCATAGCACCTCTGACAAGCATCCAGCAAATGCCTACTTATGGGTGTCTGCAAACCCCCAGAGGGAGCACAAGGGATTCAGGACAAACCAGGGGTAAATCCTTACATTAGAGAGTATCTTGATCCCAGAAGTGCTCAAGCGTTTTAGAAAATCCCAATTCTATTTCCCCTTCATAAGCCCTTCTGATGTTTTTCCTCTTCTCTGCTTTTGTTTACAGCTTTTGCTCATATCTGGGATATTTCACATATAGTCAGTTAAAAATTACTCCATGATGGGAGGCATTACCAGAACAAGTAATGGCTTCTGAGAATGGATGAACAGCTGATCAGTTCCAGAGGCCTGCCTTTAATGTCTTGATCAGAGATATAATGGTCTTCAAAGTGCAGGAATTCTTGAAGCTGAGAAGAATTTTGCCTGTGTGCCTTGAACCTGGATTTTAATTAGCAGTTATGCCTTCTGACCATCAAGCAGAGGAATTTTGGCAGTAGTCTTTGAGTGTTATCAATTGTTTTTATTTGACAGTGATAGAGCTGTAGTTTGTTGAAAGTATGTAATGTTGAGAGGGGTGGTAATGTATATGTATTTTCCTCTTTGAGAAAACTTTACTGGTAAAACATGCTAGTAAGTGAGTAACAGGTGAAGGTAGGTAATGGTGAAGTGCAGAAATTGCAGTGGTGTCAATTTGGGAGGCTTCTGAGCTCTTCCCTTTAATTTTCCATTCTTGTCTTCTGTTTTGATGGTGTTTTTGTAATCTGTTTTATAACAGCTCAGGTCCTGCAGCCAAGAAGGCAGAAACTCCCTAATAAGACTGCTTGTACACTGGTTCTATGAGCTGTCAGCCAAACTACAGAACATGAACCTGAGTGGGACTAGCAGAGTAAATCACAGCCAGTCAACAGAGAGCTGCAGATGGGCATCTGGCCTCAGGGTGGAAAACACATGGTTCCAGTTGGAGATGGGTGTTGGAAGTGTGAAGGCTGGAAAAGGTAGATTTGGAAAGTCTACCTGAGTTTAGCTGTCATTGAGACTGTTCTAAGTGCTGGTGGTTAGCCA